GCTTCCTCAACGCCAACTCGGACCCCAACATGCTGTCGCCCTCCAACTACGGCCTCATGGACATCATCGCGGCGCTGCACTGGCTGCAGGAGAACGCGGCGGCCTTCGGCGGCGACCCCGGCAGCGTCACGCTCATGGGCCACGGCACCGGCGCGGCCTGCGTGCAGCTGCTCCTCATGTCGCCGGCCGTGCCCGAAGGTCAGTGGTTCAACTCCCGCTGGGGGCAATTTTTTTTTTTCGCCCTTTTTCTCTTTTTTTCGTGTTGTTGCCGCTATTATGACAGCGAGTGACAATAGGGTGACGCCGGGAGCAAGGGGCAGCCGGCGGGCGGTGGAAACACGGCGACGGCAGCGTCTCGAGGGGGCCCTCTAGATACGGTCCCTCCACTTGGGCGCCGGGTGGCGCGGCAAGGCGGCGCGCACTTGTGACCGCGGGTGACCACTCCCCACGCATCGTCCCATTCTTACACACACACACACACACACACACACACGTGCAGCGTCCTCTTACGATTGCGACACAATAGACAGCGTCCGCGAGGCTCTCAGACTCCTTGAACTGCTGCAGCCACTGCCGGCAGGGCGCTGCTCGCACCGTCCTTCAACTTTTTACCGCACCCCCTTGCGCTATTGTGCGTGTCCTGCGCAGGGCCGGCGGGGCGGGTGGGGCACTCCACACTCCACGACTCCCTCCCTCCGTCCGTCTTCCTCTGCTGGCTGCCAGCCCCGCCAGCCCCGCCAGGGCGGCCGCCCGGCAGGGCAGGCAACACTCCGGCGCGCGGCGCACCGGTGCACGTCGCGTTGCCTACCCTCCGGATGGCAGGCGTCCGGTGCCTCTTTCGCCGCTCCGCGTTGCTCGCTGCGCGCTGCGCTCCGCCTCGCTGGCCTCGCCGCTTCCTACTCCAGAAAGGGATCCGCCACGGGAGACGTCGCGAAGTTCATTCCGCCGGAAAAGGATAATTAACCGAAATTAGGCCGTGATCGTGGGGAATTAGGCAGCTCTCTCTCTCTCTCTCTCTCTCTCTCTCTCTCTCTCTCTCTCTCTCTCTCTCTCTCTCTCTCTCTCTCTCTCTCTCTCTCTCTCTCTCTCTCTCTCTCTCTCTCTCTCTCTCTCTCTCTCTCTCGCTCGCTCTCTGGACAGCCAGAGACAGTAGCGGCGGCGCTGCCCCTCCGTCCCCGCCAACCGCACGCAGTACCAACTTTTCGGTAGTCGCCACCGCCGCTGCCGCCACTGCTGCTGGGCGCGGCGCGGTTCCGTCTCTTTTGATGCACGTTCCCGGAAACTTAAGTTCACGGATTCGCCCCGCGCGCGAGCGCCGAGTGGAGCGGCACTGCCGCCTGCACTGTGTAGGCTGCCCCCGAACGGCATCGCTCTGTCTCTCTCGCACTCCGGGGCGGCACGTCGCGGTGCGAGAGAGACAGAACCGCGTCGAAAATGCTAGTGGGGTTCGCGGAGCGGAAAGTCCTTCCTTTTTCGCAGCGTGGGCTATGCGAGGATTGCAGATGCAGGGCGTGTGCTGCAGGGTCCCTGGCAGCGTGTCGCGGCGGGCGGCGGATCCAGAAGCGGGTTCAGGGGGCGATGTTTAGGTGCGAGAGAGACAGAGCGACGAAAACGACTCTCGGAATCCGTCTGCAGCGCCGCCTCGGTGTCGTTAAGGCCGCGCAACCCTTCCCACGGACGCAGGCCGGCCGGCCTCCAACTTGAGACAATACCAACAACGCAGCCTGTCCCCCTTTTCACTTTTTTTCGCCCATTTTGTCTATTTCCCCGTCTGTCTTCCGTATCTCTCTATCTCGCTCCCTCTCCTCCTGCGGAGGGGCTCGAGGGGCGGCCGTGAATGGGCCCCAGAACAAAGAGCCCCCGCTACCCCCGCCTGCAGGGCCCCAGGACGGCCTGGACCCAGTCGCCGCTCGCTGCTACTGATTGCCGACCGCCGCCATGGTCGCCGCGGTTGCCATGGCCACCATGACTACCAGTGGCATGGCCGGGCATGGCTCAGCGCCACACTGGCTGCCCGGGCCCGGGGCCGCTGGGGTGAGGTGGCGTTTTGGTGAGGTCGGGGTCGCAGCCCTCGTGTCTACACCACCCTTAAAAAAAACTCTTATTTTCTGTAAATATGCGAGTTTTTGACACGGGCAACCCTTCCTTCCAGTGCAGGCACGCCGATGGAGCCGAGACTCTTGCGGCGGCGCGACGGGACGCGTTTTGTACCTGACGAGTTCGTACTTTCGCCGCCCTTGTCTCGAGCGGCGGCGTGGGTGTGGCGGCGTGGTGGCGTTAGTCGGCGCTAGTCCTTTCAAGTTTAGCGGGCCGACACCTGAAGGCCGCTACAATAACTAGCGCCACGCCGTCGCCGCACCGCGCCACCGCAAGGCCCTCGCTGACGCCGTGCCGTGCCGCGCCGTGCCGTGCCACCGGCTGGTTGCGTCCAAAAGAGAAAAGGGCGCCACCAACCAACTAAAAAAAGAGAGAGAGAAAAATGTTTGTGCTGCAAAAGTGAACAGAGTGGCTGGTCCTGGATCAAAGGGTACTCACGCGCGCTGCGAACGAAAAGTTTTTTCTCTCCCCTTTTCTACTTCCCTTCAGCCGCGGCTCCCCCCCGGGGGCAGAAATGGTTTTCTTTTCTTTCATCGAACAGGGACAAGAGCTATCGTAACAAGGCACTGCATGTAGGCCCGGCCGAGTTTTGGGCGGGCCGCTGCGGACCGCAGTCCGATTCCGCACACCGTGCTGCTGTCGTCGCTCTGTCTCTCTCGCACCCCCACGGGCCGCCCCGCGAGTGCGAGGGAGACGGAGCACTGGATTGCAAACGCGAAATTGAATAAGGCGGGTGGGCCATTAACAGCACCAATGCAGCAACAATAAGACGGCTGCCAGCCCCGCCTGCCCCGCCAGCCGGGCCGGCCGCCAGCTCGGGCTGCCGGCCTCGGCCTCTTGGAGGCCACTGCGTCGCTTTCCAATGAAAGAGTGGCCATGATGGATGCTGGGGCCGAGGCAGGCCGAGGGCGGGGCGCGGGGCCACCCTAGGCGCCCCCTGCACAAGGCCTCTGGCAGCTCTGGCCGCCGACCAAATTGCCGTTTATGGAGTGTTTCTGGCTCGTCAGTGAGGGCCTGGCCCCGCTGGCCGTGCCGCCCTGGCTTTCTCGCCGCTAGTCCTGCCCAAGGTGCGCCTCGGCACTGTCCTTGTGCCAGCCAGCCAGGGCTTCTCCCAAAAACGGCAAAAAAACGGGGACGCTCGCTTGGCCGAGTTACGACGCTCGGGCCGTAAAAAAATTGAGGTTCTCGTCGACCGCCACCTCGCCCTGGCTGCAGCGGGGAAGGTGACCACGGCTGTAATGTCCTCCGCAGCAGACCTAGGGGTAACCAACTCACTGTGCGTCTAGTTAGTAATCGATGAAATAATCAACAAAATCACCTTCACTTCTTGACCAACTTTGCGAAACTGGTGCTCCCGAACTATCCGTGGTTAAGGCGTTCCCGGGGTGGGCGTGAAAGAGAAGGAGAGAGTAGCAGGACGTTGAGGGAGGCCGTTAATCAAGCAAGTTTGCACGCATTGGTCGCCCGAAGTCAGCCATTTTAGCTGTTCTGACAACCTTGCGGCCGCAGAAGCGGATTGGTCGTGTTGGAGCTAGGTCGCGTAGTCCGAGCGCGTGGCACTGTGTGGCTCGTCTACGTGGTCCACGTCCCCGGGGACGGTCGGGGTTGGGGTTGGGGAGGTCGGGGTCCATCCAACACGCCCGCAAGCGCACGGAGCACGGCACACGGCCAGCAGACTGATTCCCAGAGTCGTTTTCGTCGCTCGGTCTCTCTCGCACCTGCGCGCGACGCCCCACGAGCGCGAGAGAGAAAGAGCGACGAAAACGATCTCCGTAATCAGCCTCCAGACGCTGCGCACTGATTCCGCGGACCCTCTCGTCGCTCTGTCTCTCTCGCACCTCGTCGGGACGTCCCACGAGTGCGAGAGAGACAGAGAGCAGTGCCATGCTGATGATGCTGTTTGCCGTGATGCCATGATGAATGCCCTGGCCATGGCCGCGCCAAGGACGTCCCGGTCCACCTTCAGCCCGACCTGCGCATCAATCAGGACTCGAGACACCTCCCCTCCCTATGCCATCCATTCAGTCATCAAGCCTCCCGGCGAGGCGCGCTCGCACAAAGACGACCGGGCCTACACGCTAAAAAATTTCTATGGTGGGGGCGGCACGCGCACGCGCCTTGTTTTCGCGGGATCCGGTTTCCGGTTTCCGGTTCCGGTTTCCAAGGCCGGTCCGGTGCTGATCACAGCGGGACGCCGCCTCCCCCTCTCGCGTGCCGCCCGCCCTCGCACGGCCGGATAAAGAGATTCCGTGACCACAGTAACGGTGGCGTTGGCGCCGGACAGCGCGGCCGGACCGGGGTCCGAGGTGGCGGCGGTTTCTGGCGGGGTAGGGCCCTGGTGTTGCAGGCGCGGCCGGTGGGCCCGGCGAGGCCGCAAGGGCCTTGTTCCTCCTGCGCGTGCCTTACTTTGCCTCCTCAAAGACGTGATCTCCATTGACCTCGGCCGTCAAAGGCCCCGGCTTCATCGGGGCCTCCCCGGCCTCCTCCGCGCTTGACCCCACGCGAGGCCCGGCCTCGACCACGCCCACGGTGGGGCGCCCGGAGGCCCGAAGGCCTCACCCGAGGCCCTGCTGGAGGTCCTTAAGGACCTCTCCACCCTGGAATGGGCCCATCATGTCCTGCCACGTCTTCTTTGTCTCCCAAATCACTCTCATTCCGGGGCTTCCCTCCTTTCCCTGTCCACTCGGCCAGGGTCCTCTTAATCTAGCTATCCGTCTTTGTCTGTCACTGATCCTTCCTCCTCCCCTCCTTTTTGCGTCCTCCACTACTTCGCATCCTGCGCCCGTTCCGCCCGCCGGCCGGTGCGAGTCAAACCCGGCGTGAGGCGGGGCCCGGGGGGGGGGGGGGCACCGCGAATTAGAGCAACTCCAGCACGGCTGGTGTCTAGGACGAGTTTTCCAAAGGAACACGCTCGGAAAGTCGTTTTTGGACCAAGGCAGAGCGACGGAGCACTAGGCGCGCACTGGCAGGACTAGAGGAAGGTGAAATTCACAAACACACACACAATCACAAACACACACACACTAATTACGGCGTACGATTGTACGCGTAATGCGACTCGGGCGGAATAACAGCGAAAAAGTGGCGCTGCGTCTCGCTGC